AAGAAATAAATAAAAAATTAAAAAAAAAAAAAGTATACATACTGGGAGAGAAACACATGTAAATGAATTTGATGAATAGAACTTCAACTGCTACTGGAAGATATAGGCTTCAATTATGAGGAACTCTGCCCTTCTTTGGGGGGAGTACTGGGAATTGAACTCAGGACCTTGCACTTGCCAGGCAGGTGTTACACTACTGAGCTAAGTCCCCAGCCCCTGTGCCTTCTTAAAACAAGTCATTCCCCATAAGTGAGTTAAGAAAGTAGAGAATATTGAGCCAGGTGTGGTTCTGCATGCCTATAATCCTAGCTCTCAGGAGGCTGCGGTAGGAAGAGTACCTTGAGTTCAAGGCCAGCCCAGGTACACAGCTGAGTTCAAGGCCAGCCTGAAGTACATAGTAAGATCTTGTTTCACAAAACAAAACAAAACAACAAAATAAACCTAAAACAAAAGATCTTTTCTACCACGAAATAATTAACTAGGTTAGAGTAGGCTGCGAAAATTAAAATATGCGATACAGGAATAGGAAGCCAACTACGATGGCCCACATTTGTAAACCCAGCAGTCTGGCAGGCTGAGGCAGGAGGATCCCAAGTTTGAGTCCAAGTTGGACAATTTAGCAAATCTCATTCCCACCTCAAAAATCAAAGATAAAAGATAAAAAGGGAATTGGGAATGTAGCTAGTATAAAGGTCCAGGGTTCAATCTCCTATACTTAGAAAAAAAAGAATAACAAAAAGAGATCACCCACTTCCTCACAGTTTAAGCCATATCATCGTATTCAACATCACTTCCCCATGGTTACACATTCAGGAAGCAACACTGCTTACTCCAGAGAGGCAGGATAAAAGCAGCAATCCTAAATAACTAAGCTGATTTTAATAGCATAGTAGAGCGAGTTATATAACAACAAAAGGGGGCCAGGGAGGTAGCTCAGTGGCACAGCGCCTGCCTGGCAAGCACAAGATCCTGAGTTTGATTCCCAGTACCAGTACCAAAACTCAAAAAATCTAAGAATGAAAGGAAAGGGGGCTCAGCATCCGGGAAAGAGACATCAACATCAGAGAGCAGTTTTCTACTGCATCTAAATATAGTTTAGTCATTTTAAAATAGAAGGCTCAACTTCATACCTAGTAAAGTTATAGACAAAACTACAAATGTTATGTTATTCTTGGAAAAGTATGCACGACTGGGGTTGTCAGTTTACTGCCAAGAACGTGAAAGATGACTTGAAGGGCTCTCGGGGTCCAAGGACCTGACAGATGCAGGAGGCCGCTGTGTCCTGCTGCACTAGCGCTGCATGTAGTGAGAGGTGACGCCAGCCGTTCATGAGAGGCCCTGGTCTGCTCTCGCACTGTCCCACACCCTCTACTCCTCCCTCGGACCCTGCGGCGGTGCACACAGCTCCGTGCTGTCCTTGCTTTCCTGCCCGCCTCTCTGCCTCAGCCCAGTGTAGTTCACCTCCTCCAGGATGTCTGCCCTGTTTTTCCCTCCACAACAAACTTTTCCTCCCCGTCCTCCCACTCCCCTTCTCTTCTCCTGACACTGCCCCATAGCTTTTGATGCCTGCATTTAATGAGACATGTCAAACTCTGCTTTTGGCTCTGTGTAACCCCACTGGTTAGTTGGTCCAGTGACTTTCAGAGAATTGCAGTCCATAAAGAAGCTCAAGAGAAGCCAGGCGTGGTGATACACGCCTGTATTCCCAGCACTTGGGAAGCTGAGGCAGGACCAGCGTTGGCTACTAAGAGAGCTCAAGGCCAGCCTGAAGTGAACTGAGTAGGGAAACCCTGTCTCAAAAAGACAATTAAAAAAACAAAAAAACAAAAAAAAACAAAAACAAAACAAAAAAAAAAACCAAGAGAAATACCCCAAGGAAAATGTTCAGCTAACTGCTGACCAGCTTTCTATTTCCACAGACAAGTAATTTAACACTCAAACTAGCAGTTTGTTAGAGAAAAAGTTTCAATTTAGCACTGAAATACTTTGAGACTGGGTCTTGCTAACCTACCCAGTCTAGACTTGAATTTCTGACCTCCCTGCCTCAGCCTCCCAAGTGTACTAACATGCCTACCTAGGACAGCTTGTTTTTTTTTTTTTTTTTTTAAATCTTTCTCTCTCTTCCTCCCTCCCTTCCAATTGGTACAGGGTCTCACCATGCAGTTTGGACTCTGGACTCATAGTGATCCTCCTATCTCAGCCTCCCCAGTGCTGAGGCCAGCATGGCATGCAGCCCAGGGATTGAACTGTGGACCTTATGCTTACCGGGCAGGTGCTTGGACCACCAAGCTATTGCCTCAGCCTTTTTTTTTATTTGTCTTTTTTTGAAAGAGGGTTTCACTACACAGCTCAAGTTGGTATTCAACTCCAGGATGGCCTCAAATCTGTAGTAATCCTGTCTCAGCCTATTACTGGGGATTATAGGTGTGAACCACCATGCCCAGAAGCATGGCCTGTTTTATGAGGGCTTAAGCTCCTTTCCAGACCTCAAAGTCTACTCTAAGAACTCATGACTTTGCAGACAACAAAGGCCAGTTAAGCTGTCCCCACCCCCAGAAAAAAAAAGTAAAGAAAATGCTGGGACCCATCATGGCAGATGGAAATCAGTCACATAGTGGATATAGCACCTATAATCCAAGCAATATTTATGTGCATCATGGTCACAGAGTACCTGAAGACAGGCTGGCATGTGTGATGAGACGAACGTCCCTGCTGCTTACCTATACAAAATGACATACTCGTGCCCCTGCTTTCTGGAGAGCCTGTAGGCTGGCGTCACCCGTGTTATAGCAAGAAGAGACTTCAATAGCAGGGACAGTCTGTTGTAGACAGTATAGGAAACTTTGATTTCTTTATCACACCTGAGGAGTACACAGACCCAGTTAGCATCGCCTATGAACTACTGAAACTGTACAACTTTATGATTTAATAATGTTTTGAACTAAAGGAACACTGGAGTGGTCCACAGATTTTTTTTCTTTTTTTTTTGTCTTTTGAGATAGTGTCTCACTATGTAGTTCAGGCTGGCCTCAAACTAACCTCGATACTCCTGAGGTTATCTCAGGAGTGCTGGGATTACAGGTATCCCCCACCAAACCCAGCGCATAGATTACTGAAGGAAGCCAAAGTTTTATATTTTTATGCCTTAGACAGAAGAAATGAGAAGGAAAATCCACCCAATATGTTTTTTGTTTTTTTTTTTGGCGGAACCGGGGATTGAACTCAGATCTTTGCATTTGTCAGTCAAGCGCTTATCCTACTGAGCCATCTCCCCGGCCCCAATGTTTTGATGTAGTTTGGAAGTGGTTATCATTCTAAGCAATACAGCAATACTTAAAAATCAATGAATATACAGTGCAGTTATATACACTAAAGGTGCAGAAATAATAGTACTGTGTCATCCTATGAACTGTCTAGGGAAATCTAGAGAAAAGCCTGTCACTAAAATGCTCTACCATAATAAGGAAATTGTTCTCTAAGAAAAACCAGTGTTCACATGTCAGGTATTTATCACTACTAAGGGTTTTCTTGGATGGCTGGTATCTCCCTCGGTCTTCCTGCATATTCTCCATGAGAACCGATGCTTCAGCCAGCAGGTAAATGGAGCTGCCTTAAAGGACAAAGGCGGGGGCAGGAACATGGCACAGAGCTCCCATCCACGGCCACCATGGGGTGTCAGGGGCAGTGCAGGGAAATCTTATTGGACGACAGCCATGCAGCGAACAGACAAAATGGAGTGGTCACGTTACACACTCACGAGGGACTGAGTCAGAGAGTGAGCTGTGCTTTGGGCGAACAGCAAGCCCTTGTCAGCCCTCCCTGCTGTTTCTCTCTGAGGCTCTTGGGTCCCTGAGGACCGACCTCCCGGACTGACCTACATCTGAAGGTCACCACGGTGACTAGGCTGGAAGCCAGGCAAGGAGCACAGTGCAGCAGAGACCTATGGCTCTGCTGGGAAGCCAGACGCCCTCCCTGCCTGGGGAACAAAGCCCTGCTCTCACAGGATGTCACCCGCTGTGTCCTCAGCTGCCACCAACCCAAAAGCCTGAGACAGAAGCACTTACTTCTCATTCATTTCAAGACACCAAATCTCCAGCTCCATGGAGTCTCCCTGTAGGTGGGACAAGTGAAAAGCTTTTCAGTTTTTAAGTTACTTTCTTTCTTATCACAAAGTATTATGCAGTCACTACAAAAATGTGAAGATATGAAAAGAAAATAAAAGTATCAATTTATTTAATCAGCTTTTTAAAAGGTTAGATCACCCTGTATATACCATTTTTTTCCACTTCTTTTTTGTCTTTATCTTTTATTTATTTATTTGGTACAGGGTCTCACTACACAGCTATGGCTTGTAGCGATCCTCCTATCTCATCCTCTCCAGCACTGGGATTACAGACATGCACTACCATGCCTGGTTTTGATGGCCTGCACAGCATGCGGTACCAGCAATCAAACCCAGGTCTTTGTGCTTGCCAGACAGGCACTTAAACTACCAAGCTATCTCCCCAGCCCTCCACTTCTTTTTTCTTAATAAATACATCATAGAATTTCCTTTAAAATAAAAATTGTAGCCAAGTCTCGTGGTGCATGACTGTAAAATCCAGTACTCTGGGATGCTGAGGAAAAAGGGTCACAAGTTTGAGCCCAGCCTCAGCAACATACCTATTCAGCAAGACTCTCAAAAAAAAAAAAAAAAAAAAGTTTCTTAGCTGTGTGATAATCTCTAGCCAAATGTTCACCCTCTCTGTGTATTGTATGCCTCTCAATAGACTTCTAGGAGGTAGGAAAGGAAAAGATGAAAGCCAGAATTCCTCAACCTTGTAACATTCCTGCATGTGACTTAAGCAAAAGACAGTCCCATACCTTTAGACCTTTTTATTAATCGGCTGGAAGAGTACTGCTTTCTTAGGTATGGGAGTAAGTGCAGTTAGTCTACAAAGCTGAGAATGTCTATTGTAGTACATCAAATTTGTATGTCTATTTTAGACCTCCTTATTGCTCTCGCCTTGGTTTTGTGGTGGTGGTCATTCAAGCAAGGGCCCTAACATGCAAAGCAAGTGTCCTACCACTGAGCTACAGCTATAGAGCTTTCTTCTAAGACAGGGCCTTAGTGTGTTGTCTGAGCTGGTCTTGAAGCCTTGTTCTCAAGCAATCTTATTCCTTAGCTGCCTCAGTAGGGGAAATTAAGGAAGTCAGGATGGCTGAGCGGTCTAAGGCGCTGCGTTCAGTAGGGGAAATTATAGGACTAGCTTGCCTCATCACACCACATAGCCTCATAATGTTAATGGGAACAGATTAACAAGCATATAAGTACAGTAGTGATACTTCGCTCATTCAGGTGTGGTGGTGCACAACTGTATTCTCAGCCCTCAGGAGGATGAGGCAGGAGAATGGCCATGAGTTTGAGGTCGGTTTGGGCTACATAAGCAAGTTCAAGACCAGCCTGTGCTATATAGTGAGAACCGTCTAACAAAAATAAAACGAAATGAATATCCTGGCTCAATGTGGACCAGGGTAAAAAAAAAAATTACATATATACACACACATGTACTTATTTATATATTTATATTTATGTATTTGCATGGGCAGGCACTTAAACAACTGAGCTAACAACAGGCAGGGATCCCATTTCTTATGTATTTGGTACAGGGTCTTGCTATGCAGCTCGGACTCGTAGTGATCCTCCTGTTTTCAGTCTCCCCAGCGCTGGGATTACAGGCGTGCACCACCATGCCCACTCAACATTTTTTTTTAAATTACAGTAAAGAGTGGGGGATTTGATTCAGTGGTAGATCATCTGTCTAGCATGTAAAGGTCCTAAGTATGATCCCCAGCACCACAAAAAGAAAAAAAAATTACAGTAAAATTGAGTATGGTGATGCACACATAAAATTCCAGCACAAGGGAGGGACTAAGACAGCGGGATCACCAAAAGTTCAAAGCCAGGCTGGGCCACATAGTTCAAGGACAATCTGAACTCTCTCTCTCTCTCTCTCTCTCTCTCTCTCTCTCTCTCTCTCGGTAGATAGATAGATAGATAGATAGATATATAGATAGATAGATAGATAGATATAGTGAGAGTCTGTCTCAAAAGCAACAACAACAAAAGAGGTGGGGATGCAGCTCAGTGTGAAGGCCCTGGGTGTAAACCTGAGTACTGCAAAACCAAAACAATTTAGTATCTACAAATGAGATGCCATAGGAAGTCTACAGAAAGCAGCTACCTCTCGTCCCTAAAAGGGTAGATTTTCTAGAGCTTGTAGGTCGAAGAATGAATAGAAAACTGTCATGTGCAGAAGAGAACAAAGAGCTGATTTCACAATGCAGGAAAAGCATAAGAGCCAGAACCAGAGACTAAGGTACTGTCTAGCACATACGAAGTCCTGCGTTCAATCCTTAGCACCACCGAGCACATAAACCAAGACTCCTTCAGAAAACAAGAAATGCAAGGGATGGTGGTGCACGCTGTAGTCCCAGCACTTGAGAGGCTGAGGCAGAAAGATCACAGCAAGTTCAGGACTAGCCTTGCCTGCAAAGCGACTTTAAGACCAGCCTGAACTGCAGAGTGAGACGCTGTCTCAAAAAGACTAAACAAATAAGTTAATGAAAAAAAGAATATGAGAAGTTCAGAGAAGGAAAATTCAGGAGGCTGAGAAATAAGCTGGGAGCAGAGGGTGGACAGCGTGGCTGATGGGGGAAGCTCCACCCGGCTGTCCCCTTACCTCAGAGGTCTTGAGTGAGATCTCCACACACATGGACCGCCCAACAGCAGGCAGCTGCCCCGCCAGTGCCTTCTTTGCTTCATGGGTGACCTCTGGGATATCTTTGATCGCCAAGTTAAACTGAAAAACAAAAGGGACCCTGGCATGAGACCCTGTCAAGGAATATCAGGGAACTGAGCAGCAGTCTGTCTGGGATGGCAGGCACTGCTTGGGCTTGCACCAAGGCCCCAGATTTGGACAGGAAAAGGGTTAAAGGTTAAGCACTCAGGACAACCACCAGATAACAAGGCAGGATGAAGCTTTCCATGTGCCTCAGTAGAAAGCCAGGACCCAGAGGCTGTCAGGATTTATCTCAATAAGGAATACACTTTCCAAGTGAATGGATCCAACAGTGTCAGACATTTCTCACATCACAGCTTAGTATTACTATAAATGATATGCTTAATTACTGAACTTGACAACTTTACACTCATTTCTAGTGACAAACACTGCAGCATTATCTACCCCTCACTTAGCAAAGAACAGGAATTTTACCCAATCTGAACCCGTGGGAGACGAAGAGGAACGAGTGCAAATCTTTTCACCAAGTCGAGCCTGGACAATTACTTGGACGGTCTGAAAAACAACCCCAAAAAGAAATCAATGAAAAATCTGTGGAGTGTGGCGGGCAGTACAGGGCTTACCTTGGGTGCAAGGAGTCCTAGGTTTGAGCTAGCAGGTTCTAGCGTACAAAGATTAAAAGCTTACCACTGCTAGGTTAAAACGGTGTCAAGTTATCATAACTCTACTTCAGGAAAGGAAATCATTTTAACAGAAAGAGAATCAAAAAGAAGGTCTAAAATCCAACTTTCATTCTCCACTGACCATGAAGGAAACAATAAAAGAAAGGTAGACACTGCAATCTGCTGATGCTTAGGTAAGACATTTTGAAGGCTGCCGTTCCAGTGCCTGTCTTTGTTCCCTCCCCAAGGGAACACACTGTGCCAATAATGTGGCAGAACAGTTTGACATTTCTACAAATAGCCTTCCACAAAAATCTGTGAACAAGTTACTGTGGAAAACTGAAAGCTACTTTCTAGTCACACCCCCATCATTCACAGTTTGGTTTACAACAAACAGAAGTAGCCCTTAAAATGGGCAAGCTGCAATCTGTTAGATTCTGATTCCAAAGAGGCTTCAACACAGGAGTTACTTCGAACTGTTCTTGGCCCAGGAGAATGGCTACATTACCTTGAGGGCAAAAAATTTAATGAACTTGTCCAGGTCCTTTCTGTCCTGCGAATTGAGATCAGTTTCCATTGCCTATCAGAATCTGTAACAGAAAAAGGTAGGGATGACAGGCAATCAGTACATTTAAAAAGGGATTAACATGGTAACACCTAAGAGCGGGGTAACAGTTACATGGAGACAGGACAGAAAAACCTTCCTGTAGCTAGACACACCAACTATTATGGTGCTCCTTCTTGAGGACAATAAATTCCAAAATTCCACATGGAGAGCTATATTTAGGAACTAAAAAAATAGATGAGAACATTTTACCTGATTTTGAAACCTTAAGCTTAAAATATATCTACTTAAAACTTTTATTACCCACTATATTTAGCACCAAGGATCTGCGATGCTGTTCTTTCCCAGTACTGGGGATGAACTGATGCCTCACTGAGCTACAGCCACATCCCCTACCTGGTTCTGAGACAGGATCTTGCTATGCAGTGCAGGCTGGCCTTGAACGCACCATGTAGCCCAGGCTGGTGTCGCACTCCCAGGAATCCTCCTGCCTCAGCCTCCCAAGAAGCTGGGATCACGGGGGTCTGCCACATTGCTGGCTAGAACTATATTTTATTTATTATGTTTTAATGTATTTAGTACAGGGTCTCACTACACAGATCAGACTCCCAAGTGCTGGGACTACAGGTGTGCGCCACCACACCTGGTCTCAATCAATGTCTCAGGGTGCCCTGGGGGCAGGGCCAGGCGGCACAGCACACTGGGGATTGAACCAGGTCCCTGCACCCGCCTAAGCAGGAGCTTCAGTCTGCTGAGCTATCTGGCTGGCCCAAAACCTGTATTTTAATAAACCAAAAAGGTCACTGGTGGACAGGCATTGTGGCACACAATCAGTCCCACCACTATAGGGGTCTAAGGCAGGGGCATCACAAGTTTCAGCCCCGTCCAAACAACTTTAAACAGGGGGTATCCTACCTCAGAACAAAAAACAAAAAGGCTCAGTGCAATGGCCCTGTGTTCACTCCTCAGTCACACACACACACACACGCACACACGCACACACACACACACACACACACACAACTTAGCTGAAGTTAGGGATACGCTTCAGTAACTGAATCCTTGTCTAATGTGCCAAGGCCCTGGGCTCCATCCCCAGCACTGCAAAAAACAAAACTAACAAACACAATATTTTCCTTTTTTTTGTGACGGGAATTGAATTCAGGTTGCCAGGCAGGTGCTATGCCACTGAACTATATCCCTAGCCTCCCCCCCAACCCCCATTTTTTTTTTTTTTTTTTTTTTTTTT